CCCTCTTAAGAAGCGGGTGGCAAGGCGGCTGCCCTCGCCCTCGCCAGCGCTGGCATGTCCTCTTTCTTCCCTCTTCATTCTCTGATGAACTTTGTTTTAAAACCTTGTTCGAAGCAGGTGGCAAGGTGCCAGCAGCAGATCTGTTGCTGGTGACGACAGGTTCCAAATACACATCATTATACCATAGCTGAACGTTTCGGTTTGTTTGACCTGGGTTAGGTTGTTAAACACATTAATCTTGGTGGAGGGAAACTGCGCAAACGAACCAAACACATCGGCAGGCCGGACCGAGGCCTACGGCCGATGGTTTCCCGCTTCCCTTCCCTGTCTGCTGACCCTGGGGAGGTGGGGAGATGAGATGAGATGTGCTGGGTGTGGCACTCAGCACGATGTGCAGGGTGCCTTCAGGAAGGCAAAGTACCTTCGGGAGATGCCTTCTGGGTCGGGGGATCATGGGGCCCTTGCCTTGGGCTGGACATCAAAAGATGGGCGGGTTTCAACAGGCAGGAATGTGAGGGAAGGTATTTCAGGCGGAGACAGTGACCTCTGCAGAGACCCAGGTGGGAGAGGAGGCATGAGGGAAGCTGGTCTGGACAGAGCAGAAAGCACAGGGGCCGTACGGGGGTGAAGTGGAAGAGGCATCTGGAGAGACACGATGGAAACAGACCAGGATGCCCTGGGGTGGCTCCCGGGAGACCCCGCCTCCTTCCTTCTTCCCTTTCAAAGTGGCCGTCCTGTGTCCCTGCTGCAGATGGCTGAGATTCAGTCACTTCACATCTAACATGTCTCGTCTTCTCTTAACACTTGGACTCTGCGAGGGAAAACAGCGTGACTCCCCCAGCCCGGAATGTTGACAGGCCAAACCGTCCTTCAGTGAGCAGCAGGACACCATTGCAGCTTCTTGTTCGACTGACCCTAGAAGGTTCCCCCGGCAGCGGCGTGTAGGGTGGATGGAAAGAGATGAAGAGGGTACATCAAGAATCCAGGCAAGAAGGGCAGGCCTGATTTATGTATTGCTAACGAAGCGGAAAGCAGGGGCAACTGAGGCAGAATGGCCGCCGGTTCAGGGACTGAGTGAGGCCACAGAGCTCCCACACACCCCCCTTCTCAAGCCACAAACCTGGGTGCCATCCTCCCACCTGCCGCCCAGTCTTGCCAGTTTCCCTTCCAGCACACCTCGTGAATGTGTCCTCTCTCTCCCTGCGTTCCCAAAGGCCTTCCTGCCTCGGGTCGCCGCCCCTGAGACCCACCCCCTGCAGTGTTGCCCGGCTTGTCTCCCCAGAACAGAACCCACCGTTCAGGGGGCCGTTATGACAAGCCTGAGTCCCTTCGGGTAATAGAGAAGACCTCTTGAGACCGAGCCCCTGCCCACCACGCTAGACTGAGTTCTCGCCAACTCCTGCTCTGACCCCAGATGCCTCAGCTTCGTGTGCCGACAGCCTGCTTCCCGCACACAGCGTGCTTTCATGCCGTGTGCCTTCTGCTTCGAACGCCCAGATCGCCTGCCAGCACGTCCTTCCCAACTCTTTATTCACCGCCCAAAGCTTCTCATCTTACGTCCTCTGTGTCTTGTGCGTATCTAGTTGCGCTGTCATCAATTATGTATTTATATATCCTGCCCCCTGTCTACACTGCCGTGTCCTGAGGGCAGGAACTCACCGTGCCATCTCGATGTCCCCAGTGCCTGACACCAAGTCAGCACCCAGATGACGGAGAGATGAGCGGGTGGACAGACTTTCCAAAAAAGCAGCTGGGGTGGAGAGGGAAGGGGAGGGAGTCAGGGAGGCAGAACGCTTGGAATGGCAGAGCCGGCCAGAGTTCAGAGATGACTGCCGGCCGCGGGCGGTGGCTCAAGCCTGTCATTCCCGCCACTTGAGAGGCCGAGGTGAGGGGATTGTCAAGGACAGCCTGGGTAACTTGGCGAGACCTCATCTCTACAACAGATCAAAAAATTAGCCAGCTGTGGTCGTGCGCACCTGTAGTTCTGGCTGCTTGGAAGGCTGGGGTGGAAGGATCGCCTGAGCCCAGCAGGTGGAGGCTGGGGTGGCCGTGAGCGTGCCACTGCATTCCAGCCTGGGCGACAGAGGGAGACTCTGACTCAAAAGAAAAAAAAAAAGATGACCTCCAAGTGTCAATGAGTCTGAAACAGTCGGATCATCATGGTGGGAATTCGGAAAAGAGAAGCAGCACAGGAATTCGTGTGTCCTCTGCGAAGAGTGAATGGAGAGAGGACTATGAGCGGGAAAGGGGGAAAGACTGACAACAGCGAAGCCTAGCGGCCAAGGTTGTAAGGGGCTGGGTCGATAGAAAACCTGAAGCCGTGTCAGGCCCAGAGAGTTTGCAGAGCACAAAAGTAAGGGAATTCTGTTCTTAAAGCCTGAATTCAGAAGAAAATCTCCCACTCAGGTGACTCACGGTGAGGACAGCTCAACCCTTCTGACGACTCATGCTTCTTAAGACATCTGGGGACTCTGGGGAGGTTTCGGGGGGAGGGTTCTACTCCTTGATTGTGGCCCAAGACCCCACCCGAGGGTACCGAGGAGCGGGGAACCCAGTCGGCGCTTTGGAGCATGAAAGAGGCTCATGATGAGGGAGTCGGGAGGAGGGAGGACGAGCGGAAAGTGGCTTGGCCACTCTGTCCCCGGCAGGGCCACAGGGGTCAGTTGCAGACTCGGAAACAGTCATT